CATCCAGAATTGAGCCATTTCTGACCGACTTTTTCTCCGTGGACAGATTTGGCTCAAATGTTGTCTCCTGGGGTATTTTGACCTCCTGAATACGAATATGACATTCGCTTAGCCCGAAACTTCCTGGCGCCCGCGCCACAGGCGCCGGTGATCTGGGGTATTTTGGCGCCAGCGCCTGTAGCGCGGTGCCAGGAGGTTTCGTGTTGAGCGGATGTGATATTCATGTTCAGGAGGTCAAACTACCCAGGGTACAAATTTTCAGCCAATTCTGCCAACGCAGAAAAAAGTCGGTCAGAAACTGGCCTGTTTTGGAAGATTGGGGCAGTAAAGGGTGAAATAGTGCCTAAGATTCAAATCACACTGCCATCGGATGGCTGTCTTTCATGCTTAATCATTCTGCAAAACATCCTGTCATCCGCAGGATTCGAACCTGCGCCCTCCGAAGAGGACTGCGACCTGAACGCAGCGCCTTAGACCACTCGGCCAGAATGACACATTCAGAGCTGTTGCATTTCCTTATCAGAGCAGACTAATCATTTCAATATTGCAACAAATTGAGTCGAGATACCACGACCAAGACACGTAACACCTCGAATATATCCTGCTATTACTGTTAAAAAGGATAAAGGATAAAGTCTTCGCCGTTGATCAATCCCTTTGTGGGATGCGGCACGCATTCTACTTCCATTCAGAATCGTAGTGGCTTAATGCTGTGGCCTATACAATGACTTGCGGTGGCCAGCCGATGTACAAGTCAGTGTTTTATCCTCCCAGACGAATCTGGTACCAATTTACCGTCCCCGGAGGGTAGAAGGCTTGGTTGGCCTGGGCGGGAGTCGACCCGGGATTTGAACCCGGCGCCGCGCGAGTGGTAAGCGCGCCACTTGTCACTACACCACTACACCACCTTCGCCTTCTATTGCTATTAAATGCCATCAATTTGTGTGGGGCCATAAGAACACCGATGTGAGCAACTCGTTCACTCCAAAGCCCGAACACTTCCAAAGCTGATACTAGTCCGAACGAAACTTGAATACGTGGCCCAACGACCAATCCCAAGCGAATTTTTCTCAAGAGATAACGAGGAAACCTTGAAAAAAAAAACAACTCTGGTTCTTCTTGGGTTAGTTTTGCGATGGATGCTTCGTTAATATTTTCTTTCACGAAAAGTCTTTTTGTTGACGAGAGGGGAAGGTGAAGCAGTGGCAAATGGTGCCAACACTGCAATACAATCCGGTAATCATGCTCCAGTTGGAATCAAGCCCAAGTGACCTGGAACTTTCATCCTTTCGCTTTAGACCACTGAATCACCGTTGAACTTTGATGCGATTATATGTCACAGTCACAATTCTACTACCTTCGTGGTGAAAAAAGGATATCGGTTGAGAGATGCACGTCGCAATGACGCGCAAAGTGACTGTTTCCTAGCCAATTGCTAAGCGCACTGCAGCTTTTCTGTATCAAATCTATGAGGTCCTGTAGTGTCGCAACATCGTTGTTTGAAACACATACGGGGTCGCACTTTTCCGCAGGGGAGGAGATTCGTATACGGCTTTGAGTGATATTTGCTGTATTGGGAAAAAATTTCTCCCGGTTGTTGACTTTTCGCGTGATTTTTCCTGTTTCAGGATATATCCCCCCCGCCTCCGCTACACTCGACAGCAAAATTTGTGGGGAAAAGTAGGGAAATTTCCGGTGAAAAAGGGTAGGAAGTTGGAGAAAATCTGAGAAATTTTCCCGTTTCACATTGTCTCCTCCCCCGCTCGACAGAAAATCTCTGGGTGAAAAACTGGAAAATGTGGGAAATTGGTAGGTAGGTGTTGGGGAAGGGGGGTCGTACCGAGACCCTCATTTAGGTGGGGGGAGGTCGTACTGACACCCTCTCTCGGAGAGGGGGGGGGTCGTACCTACACCACCATTCCACACATCACGATGCTGTACCCCGCGCGCACTAACACCATCTGCAGCACCGCGTTGTCGCAACGTGAATCTCCCAGGTCATAAGCGGTGAAAGAGTGTCATTAATGATACACTGGGAACCATCTCGTCTTTTTTTTCCCAAGAAAGTTCTCAACCTTTTCATGATAAACTCTACGGAAACTGAAATCTTTACCTAATAGTAGATTAAAATTCGTTTGAAGAATAAGCTTTATATTGTTGAAAATGTTCCAAAAGATATACGGCGCCTACACCCACTGGTTGTTCTTCCTGAATCGATCGCTAGTCGATCACCATTGGTAGAGCAAGGCAGGTGGTGGAGGGCTCATCCCGCCTCTCCAGATGCCGCCTCGACTGATTGCGACGTTATCAACTTTAAAGACTTCTTGAATTGATGAGGAACACCTGTCATTTTTAATATATTCAAAACGCTGTTGTTAGCTTCCCGCCCGATATTATCTTCGCATTATAGGTGGAACTATCTCGTCCGTTGGTCGATACGTCAAGAAATATGGCATCAGTACCGAGATCGTTCTCGCCGATACGCAATTCTCCATCTACTACGATTATGTCATGTACGGCAGGTTAGGTTTGAACACTGTTCTCCCTACAAGAGGTGCAATCCATATCCCGGAGATGGGAAGGCGTCGCTGCGTGGTTCTTTCAAACGCGGCGGTGAGTGCGTTTTCGGTGACAGATTGCCGGAAAACTAGCAATCTGTGGCACGAGACAGGCTGCCTCGAGCTCCTTCGAATGGCAATATATCCCGAAAAACGCATCCTACGCCATGTTCGAATGCAAGTGCGCAGCCACGCCCTCCTCATCTCTTGGATATGGAGGGTCCAGTAGTTGATCAATCGGCATAATGTCTGTGCTCTGCGAAACTTATAGCTTGATCGTAGAGTTCGAGCGTATGAGTAAGAGAGCTTACTGTGTCGCTGCCGAACTTTTGAGAGCAATTTCAGATTCAAGAACGAATCTGGAGCGAGTTTATGGGTAGAGCCAGGCATGGCCGGAATCGGTTATGGACCAATGGGAATGGCACGTAGAGGCGAAACAACAAGGTGAGCCATAATTAGCCCTACTTTCCCCTTGAGTATCGATACTACAGGGCTGCATGTTACAAGAAATATTGAACAACAAAAAGCCATAGAAATTACATCTTCAAGAGTTGATTGAACTGAAACCATACAAATTACAAAGCCATTACAAAACGAGTTATGAGGTAGTCGGCGCAGTTCGGTTTGGTGGGGCATCTACGGTCTCTGTCAATCGCTGCCGATACTTCCTGTGGAGACTTGTATTAGGTTGTCCGGAAAGTTCTCAG